AAATGGTAAGTGAAATTTTCCTTGAAAAAAATGCAAACCTTACCCTTTGATAGACTGATAAATGTTTTTTCAAGAAATAAATTGAATTCTTTGTTATTTAAAGTCATATATTAGATATCAATCACAAGAGGTAAATAAATATGTGTTTGTGCCATTTTGAGCCTAACCTAATGCCTCGTCCAAGTATTTCTATTGACAAACAATCATGTATGTTTCAAAACATCGTAGGAAACAATCATGTATGCATTAGCTCTATAATGTCTATACCCGCACCCGCACCGACCTTCATGTAACACACCCGCACCCGCCCCCAAATCCAACCGGGGGTAAAAATTTACCGTCCAGACCCACCCCCAGTAGAGAACGGGTGCACCTGCACCCGCCCCGCCCCCACCCGCAAAAAATTTAATTTCTTTTTAATTGCAATAGAAATTAATAATTTAATTAAAAAATTGATTATTTTAATAAATAAATTATTTATTTAATTAAAATTTTAATTAGTAAATGAATATTAATTTGATTAATTTAATTATTTTAATTGCAATAAAGGTATTTATAATTTAATTATATAATTATTAAATGAATATTAAAATAAGAGAATTAAACTAAAATGCATTATTCGAGGGCGGGGAGGGGGCGAGCGGGTCTTAGTGTCTCCCCGCACCCGCACCCGTAATTAAAAGTCGGATTTTCCCTGCACCCGTACCCACTCAAACCGGATTTTCCCCACTAATTTCGGGGCGGGCCCCGACGAGTCCGGATTTTTTTGCCATGCCTACATGTAATTAATTCGTCTCTCTAACTTTTCATCATTGTGTAATATACACTATAGACTTCTCTATTTTACAAGTAAAATACTTCATCTTAACTCAGAGTTGTTAGTAACACCTTATACAACAATGAATATCTTTTTTTTTTCTAATCCACACAAGTAGCACAACAGAAAATGCAACATGACTTGTTTTCATATCAACATTGCTGAGAATAATAATATGTCAAGTGTGAGTTGGAGTCCCGCATTGATTATAAATGTGAAAAGTTGAACTCTTATAAGTGGGAGAATCCATACACCTATCACCTTAAAATTTTGAATGAATGTGTGGTGTATCTCTCACTTGTGTTGCTTTCATCCAATGATGATGCTCCTTCTCATACCCCTAACAAATGGTATCAAGATCCTGGTTCGTAAAGTGATCGGTTTACTTGTATCGAAATGTCCAGGAAAATGTGTGTCGAAATGCCTAGTAATAGGTGCCAACGGTAGTACAAATATATGTGGACAAAAGAGCTTCCACTTGAGGTGGAGCATTGTGAAATGTGGATAATAGTCTCACATTGGATAGGAATATGGTGACTCGAGCATTTAGAGGTGAGAGAATCCACCCATCTATCGCCTTAGGGTTTAAGGTTTTGGGTGAATATGTGGTGTCTCTCTCACTTGTGTTACTCTTGGTCCAATGTTGATGCAACTTCTCATACCCCAACAAATGGTATCATGCGCCTTTGGTTGGGTAAATATGTGATGTCTCTCTCACTTGTGTTGCTCTTGGCCCAATGGCAATGCTCCATAGCGATAAAATCCTTCAACAAACATTTCAATTCCTACAAAAAAAATTATACATTTTGGATACCTTTTAATAAAAGAAGCGAGTTTAAGGTCATCAGGAAGTCCAAGTTGTCTGCAATGTCGAGAAAGACGGTATATCGGAAGGCAGCATTCGAAAAAAAAAATAAATGATTGAAATAAGGATTCTAGCTGCCTTAAGATTCCTCTGACCTGTTACAACAAAATCCATTGTTTGATCTTTCACTCATTTCAAGTTTATGTTCACTAGATTAAACTTCTGCTATGAATACTTGTTTATGACCATGAAGAAAACCATAATTTCTTACCGTATAAAATAAAGAACAAAACATCATGTATAAATATTGAGAATATAAGGATCCACACATTGTTAATATCAAGATATACAAATTGAATCGCAAAAGCAAATTTGAAAACCTAGAAAATTATTTTATAGCATATTATGTTAAATTAAATTGAAAACAATTCAATAGAATAGAGATCTGATTTTACCATTTAGCATATAGAAATGGAATTTTTCTAATAGAGATGAAAGATTTGAGAAATGTCACGAGTGATAGAATAGATTTAAGAGTTTATTGTTCGGGAACATATGATACACTGGGTCTACATGAAGGCTAGTAAATTAGGATTTAACGTTGTAATCGAAAGGTGTTACATTAGCTCTAATAGAAGGCAAGCATTTGTAACAATGAGATGTGAAAGAAGTGGGCATGTACCAACCACTGATTCAAAATTTGAAACATGGTGACACAGATCAAGAAAATGTGAGTGTTTCTTTAAATTGTACGGGTACTTGTAAATTGAATGATACGTGGAAATTTAATGTGGTCACTGGTATACATAATCATGTTTGATGTCACAAGCTAGATGGTCATCCCATTGTATGTTGCCTTATTCCTGAGGAGAAAATACTTGTTTTGGACAAGACATTAAACATGGTGGCGCCGAAAAAATATACTTACAACTTTAAAGCAGAAAAGTCATTAAAATGTTTCAAATATCAAACATGTATACAATGTGCGTGTCCGAAACAACAGGGAGATAAGTGTAACACCCTAAACCTGACACCCTTAACTTATGAAAATAAAACGATACACTTTTACACAACCTCGACGTTACATACCCCTAACATGCATCTTTATATTAAATCATAGCATAAAACATAAGACAAATTAAAACATTAAATAACTCATTTATTGGGGTTTCAACATAAATACTCAATAAAATACTCAAAACATCTCAGAGAAATAAAATGTAAAAGGTGACACGTCTCCAATATTACATATCAAAGCGATGTCAAGACTAAAAGACAAAAAACAATTATTGAATGCATTTTACAGGTTTTGCAAAAGGAGATATTGGTGCTAAAATTGAATATGATTTAGGAAGGGTGGGAGTTTTTGGTGAAAAATCAATTGGATCAAATAAAATGATGCGTTTCAATGAAAAGTATCAAGTTCCATCACATTGTGATATTGGCAATATTAGAGGTAAGTTTGATGGAAAGACTGTCACTATTACAATGCCAAATATTCCATGTAAAGTTCCTCAACAAGAACAAAAAGCAGTTGAAAAAAACACTTGTCATCAAGAAAACATACTCAATGATCATTGAGAAAAAGAGTGATAAACTCGGCTTTGGTGAATCAACAAGAACAAGAATCAAAGACATGATTTTATCTACAACTCAAGCTGTAACTAATTGTACAAAGAGCTTCAATGAAGAAGATAAATAAAAGCTAATATATACTGGTGCAACAATTCATGTCGTAAACACCGCTCGGTGTTTACGCTTCTTATAAGTATCGTTCCTCGCGTAGACCATAAACAAATTGCATATCTAAAAGAATACAAATTGCATATCTAAAAGATTTAATTTACTACCACATAGTATCTATCATACTTGACAAAGAAATCAGACTTTATATACTGTGAGCTTAATTTAATGTTGTTTAGACCGTTGACGGGTTGCCCAATTTTGATAACTAGAAATAATGGTTATAGAATTATAGCGCAACGGAATTTGAACAACGACTATTGATCATTGAGTATGGTTATAGAATTATAGCGCAGCGGAATTTGAACAAACGACTATCGGTCATCGAGTATATTTGATTCTAGTACCATTATTTCTAATTATCAAAATTGTGCAATCCGTCAAAGCAAATGAACTATCGAAATATTACCTTTTCTATGACTACCTGGCTACCTGCCATTTATAACTCATCTATTCTCCAAATATGTATACCAATGAATAAGGACAAATAAGTTACTACAACACCTCCATCCATCCCTAAATTTAGAATAAAAAATTGTTTTAAAATAAATGATTTTAATTTTCAATGCTTAGTAAAAATACAATTCTCTTTTTTTTTTTTCAGTTATTCTTTTTTTAATCTGTAAAAGACGCGACACGTGATCCTTACATTAAGAGGAAGGACATGGAATGAGGGCTAAAACTCTAAAAGCTAAAAGAAAATACATGGAAGATTTCGTTAAATAGCATGAGAATCGACAATAATTAGCATTCCCTTTAATAATCCTTATCATTATGAATACCCGACAAGAAATCGAGGCAGCCCAGACACATTAGAGGGTGAAGGCATACTCAGAAAAAACAGACATGTCCAACAAACCGGATCCATTTTGCCATCACTAATCGTGGCATTCAACATGATGCTCTAGATCTCTATCTCGTTAGATAAAAAGGATATTCAAGTTCACCACATATCTACATGGATATCTATTAGACAAATGCTGAACAGATTTTGGTGTAATCATAAGTGTATATAGACATCCACAAGTATTACATTTATTTAAAAATTACATTTAAATAAAAAAATTATTATCGTTTTAATAATTATATAAAATTTCTTCTTTCTATTTGTGACACCATGCGTACAAATATTTACCATTTCTCTAACCCTAATCCAATTAACATACTTAAATATGAGCACAATACCAATTTAGTACTCCCTTTTAGTGTAATTAAAAGCCTTAATCGTTTTAAACCTCCTTGTTTGTTCCTCTTTCTCCCGGTTCACCTCTCTCACCATAAATGCCATTTCTTTCATTTTTCATCCATAAATGTCATTTCTTTCATTTTTCATTTGAAATAATCGTTTTCACCAACATTCATTCAGAAATACAATAAATTCTTTGAAAAACTATTACTACTGGTGTCAAAATTTGATTATATTTAGAGAAAAAGTAAACAAACAACTTACATAACTGGTAGAAAGTACTATGCTTCATACCTATACCGAAATATAAGCTATCGAATAAAGAAACATGAAACTTCACGCAACAAAATTTAGAACTCATACTCAAGAAATATAAGATATCGATTAAAGAAACATAAAACTTCACACAACAAAATTTAGAACTCATACTCAAGAATGGCCTGATCTGACTAAATTGCCTGGGATTTGTTTAGGATAACACCTTCATATTTAACCTGGAACCACTTCATGGCATCATCCTTTGTAACACGGTGCTGGATTCCAACGCGTGCCTTGCACCGGCGACGACGTCCCACGCGGTAACCAGGGCGCTCCAACACCACAAAGAAATCCATTCCATAAATGCCAGTGGATGGATCATACCTGAAGCATAATTTTAAAATATCAACATGATAGAAAAATATCCTTTGGGACATGAGAAAACTACAAACAAATAAACATATTATCAAATAAGTATAACAAATAAGAACCCCATTTCAACATAAATTTGAAATTTTTTGGCTTACTTGATTCCCAAATCGATGTGTTCCTGGATACCAAAGCCAAAACAACCAGTATCACTGAAGTTTCTCCTCAATAACTCGTATTCCTTGACCTTCAATCCGCTTTCTAAAAGCTGCATTGCCTTGTCACCTCTAACAGTGACATAGCATGCAATCTTTTCATTCCTCCTAATGCCGAAGGATCGAACGGTGTACCTAGCTGTCAATAAGCACAGCAATGGAATAACAACTAATCAGAGCACAAGTCAAACACTAAACTAAATATCCAATGAACATTTAAACTGCGTCGTGTATTGGTGATTGCCATAGTAGTTTAACTAGAATCCTAGTCCTAAATGATGCAAATGGGCTTAGAGTCTTGGAATCGCAAAAGGCTAAAAAGACCGCCATTTTAAGCCAAAAAAAACTGCTATGACACACCAATTTATCAAAAATTGGCCATAACTGTTAAGTGTCTAGAACGTTAAATGAGAGATTCTCAACAAAAAAAATACAGAAATGCAGAACCTAATTTCAGAATACATGAGAACTTTTAGTTTAAAAAAACTCCAAATTATGCTTAGGTTCTCATTTATTTTGTCTTCTAGTACTTGAAGAGATGTAAGAGATACAATGAAAGAATTTCTTTCCCAAATTCAGAGATAAAAAGCTAACTCAAAATATGCTTACATAACTTTTCCATTGTGCAATTGGTTAAAACCTAAAAACTAATCTATAATAATAACTTAAGCAACCCTTGCTTGCAATTGGTTAAAACCTAAAAACTAATCTATAATAATAACTTAAGCAACCCTTGCTTGCAATTGGTTAAAACCTAAAAACTAATCTATAATAATAACTTAAGCAACCCTTGCTTGCAATTGGTTAAAACCTAAATACTAATCTATAATAATAACTTAAGCAACCCTTGCTACAGAATCATTATTTTTTTCACTCTTCAACTACCAATTATTCCACCTTCACTAACAAAACAGATAAGAACATAAAAATTCAACAGCAAAAAAACATATAGTCAACCAATCCTAACAGTTGGATAGTTAAACGCATTTGTCTTTGATGATAACCATTTGATCATTAATCACATTTTCCATTATTGATAACCACTTATTAAGCCACAGAATTAAACTCAAAAAACATACCTTTGAAAAAGGAAATATAAAAATGAAATGTTAGAAAGTACCTTTGGAGAAAACAGGGGTTTGGCCACTAAGTTGTTCAAGAACCTATGAGAAAGAGAGAAAACAAGTTAGGGGATGTTTGGTTTAACTACAGAAACAGATAAAAGCAATTCTAAATGTATAGAACTGATTTTGAGGTACTTGGTTCATCTAAAATAAAATTGATTCTTCATCCATAATTGATTCTACTTGAAGCTAGAATTTGTAGCTTCTGAGTTTAAAAGTGATTTTTACTTTGAAATTTCATGTTCAACTCACTTTTATTTAAGTTTATCCAAACATAAATCACTTTACCTTCAAATCACTTTTAACTGAAATCAATTTTCCAGAATCAATTCATTCAAAATCAATTATTTTCGCTGGAGAACTAGACAGCTTAGGTATAAAATGAGAAATGATATGCTCTACACACAAATTTCACACCAAAATTCAACCTAATTTAGATAGTTAATCATGCTTATTGGCAAAACAGACACAATGCTAAGTCATTAACCATCAAGTAAACGTATTTAAAACTATGTGTTAAACATCAAAATCATAAAAATAAAAATAAAAAATTTGCGAATTTCGATAACAATGAGAAAGTAAATACCTTAGCGGCTCTGGTTAAACGATCCCCACTTTCACCGACGGAGATATTGAGAACGAGTTTCTGTACTTTGATTTCTCTCATTGGATTCGATAGCTTCTTCTCCGAAGCCTAACATTATGAAAACAATTACTAACATGTTTTTGAAATTGAATGCAATGCAATAAAATCGGAAAAGAAGGAAGATATAGTTTGGTATTTTACCATTTGGTAATAGGTATGAAAATCTGCGGGAAGACACGGAAGAGAACGGCGGCGCTGGTGGAAGAGAGAGCGGTAACAATCACTATGGATTGAAGTGGAGGTGGTAACCACTTGCTAGGGTTTTAAGCTCTCACTGAGTCAAATTACTATTATACCCCACTCGGTTTACCCCTTTTTTGTGGTATGTGTCAAGATCAGACCCTCTCCTAAAAAAACTATGCAAATCACACACACACACATATATATATATATATATATATATATATATATATATATATATATATATATATATATATATATATATATATATATATATATATATATATATATATATATATATATATATATATATATATATATATATATATATATATATATATATATATATATATATATATATATATATATATATATATATATATATTGTGGCACCCACCATAGGGTCCGGTAAAACTAATTTGGGTCACACCTCTCTCTAAAACAACATCACCTCCTTGTCGTACCCTAAACTCCCAATTTTGATTATTGTTATACATAGTCAACAGAAAATATTCATTCACTACCTGAGGGTACCAGTGGTACATGCGGTGTCGAGGTCATGACTAGAGGGGCAAAACGGACCAACCGGATTAGCCCGAAAGCCCGTCAAAAAATCTAGGCTTGAATAAAAAAATAAGGCCCGTCTATTATTCAGGTTTTTAAGTCTGAACCGTTAAAACTCCGATGTTTAACCGGGTTAGCCCGACCGGATAGCGGGTGGCCTACTGAGGTTTTTTAATAAAATTTGGACCTTATTGTTAATTTAATTTGTAAAACTTAATGTTCTTATAGACAATTTTACTTTGCTTTGAATCCTTGTTCAAATGAAAAGACAAACAATGTACCAAGGGAAATGTTATAAGTTATATTTTGGTATGTACAACATTATTATCATTTTCTAAATGAAATGAAATGTCATACTGGTGTGTTTTCTATGTGAAATGTCATATTGTTATAATTTGACGTTATGATAAAATTAGAGTATGGTGTGTACAATATACTAATAGTATTATATAATTTTTTAAACAAAACACTCACTTTTTAATTTTAAAAAAACAAAATTATAAATATAAACTGGGTCTGCCCAAAAAACCGTAGTTCGTGAAGGGTCGAGCTTGGTTAATTAAATTGCGGCCCATTTATAATCCGAGATTTTTAGCCCCGCCGACACAAAGTCTGAGTTCGTCATGGGTCAGCCCGTCATGGGCCAGCCCGTCACGGGCGGGGTAGCCCGTTTTTCCAGCTATAGTCATGATGGAGATACGAGTCACCATGGAAGAATTACACCACCACAGTCAGGCATTAGAGGATGGCGTCCAAAATATCAGACATCACCAACAAGAGGTCAATCCTCTAGAAGATACAAAACTATTAGACCCTCAGCCTCTCTCAGACGAAATATGGGGGGGTCTTAGTTCCTTAAGGGTTCAAACCTTCACCCCTAACCAAATTTAATGGGCGCAGCGACCCTTACGAGCATATCGCCTCCATCAACACCCAGATGGCCATCATAGGAGCATCAGACTCTCTAAAGTGTAAGTTGTTATCAAGCACCTTTAGGGAAGTCGTCCTTCGATGGTATATAGGCATCCCCTTGGACACAATTAACAGCTACCAGAAATTGATGAAAAAGCGGGTACACCAATTTGTCATCAATCGTCACAGGAAGATGTCCACCACCATCCTTAACGAAGTCACAATCAGGGTAGTCCCTCAGAACCAAGAGATGTTCGTAGGGGCATTCTAGAACAGACTCAAGGTGAGACACTTCAATTAGTCCCTCACCTAAAATTCAACACTCTCCCTGGACAAAGTAGTCTCTAAGGCGGAATTCTACATCAAAGACAAGGTAAGCAAAGCCGAAAAGAAGGCTCGCGATGCCAAAGTGTGGGTCACCATCATTGAAAGCTCTCATTCCTCAAAGAAGAGTATCCACACCTCACATGTGAATGACAAATCCCTATTCAAAATGGAAGGAAAGGCGACGAAGAGTTTCCCTCCCTTGAACATCCTCCGAGAACACATTTACGAATAAGAGTGTTAGCTTTTGTTTATTTGTTTTCTTCTAGTTATTAAAAGTTTTAAAGAAAAAAGAAAAAGACTAAAAATAAGTTTTTTATTATGGTGTTTGACAAGATTATGAGTCTTACTCCTACGTATTCTCAGGTTCGATGAGGAATTCAAAGCTACTTAGTTCTTAGCAAGAAAAGATATTTTTGGAGTTTTTTACTATAGTGTTTGACGAGACATTAAATCTCTCTCCTATGTATCCTCTAGTGCGATGAGAAATTCATAGCTACGTAGTTCTTGGATAACAAATGAGTGTTTATTAGTTGATTTTAGTGAATGATGTTTAGGTCGCATTCTAACAGTTAAATGTTGCTTTTATGCTCGTGCGTGGGAGACTTAAGCATTTGTTTGTATCGCGGTAGAATGGATAAAACATCATCCATTTGTGAAAAAGTTTGTGGTCGCGCTAGGGCAAAAAATGAGTTTGAGTAGTTGAGTTTATTTTAGGTGGAAGATGAATGCTCGATTAGACCAAAACCGATTATTCGGGATTTCAAAAGGGTGTACACCCAATTTTTCTTTTTAATACAATTATTATAAAAATTATTTGTGGAAGATGAATAATCGGTTGGAACAAGGCGTGCACCTCGGGTCCGATTATTCGGAAATCAAAAGGGTGTGCACCCAATTGTCCTTTTTAATTCTAATTTTATTATGAAAAGATTTTGAAGCGCTTTTGATTGATTTTGAAAAAGAACTTGATGTTGATCAAGTGTTTGATTCGCATTTGGTTTGGAATGATTTGATTGTGAAATGGTAAAGGAATGGTGAAATGTTTTATTGCTTTGAAAGTAACTTGATGTTAATCAAGTGTTTGAGTTTATCTTGAAAACAAACAGATTGATTTTATTTGGCATTATATGTTTTTGAATTAACAATTATCAATTAAACAGTTAACTAATAAAAACAATAAAAAAAACATTAAAATAAATAAATAATAAAAAGAAGGAGGTGCATTATCAAAACAAAGGTGGAAAAGAGAGAATTGGGTTTAGGGCCCACTTTATAAAACACTAAATGGGCTTAAGGCCTAACATTAAATAAAATAATTAAAAAAAAATCAAAGGGGGTGCAAAATAGACCTAGGGAGGTGGCGCCTAAAATGGGTGTCTAAGCTCAGCATGAGAGGCCCAAAAGCCTCTCCTCACACCATCAGGGGGTGTGAGGATGAAAACGGCGCATGGTGAAAAGAAAAATGGGCAAGGCCGAATACTGTAAGGACTGAGACAAATTTGCCAACTGGAATGGAAGTTGACTCGCTCATAGCCTTTTGATTGATCAGATAGATGGCTTACATTGAACCAAGATCAAACCTTGACCCTTAGATTTGACTACTAGGCAGTCAAACAAGATCAAGTGGTTAGGGTTCAAACTTCTAATATGGACACTCATAGGGATCCTGTACAGGATCCCTTAAAAATATCTAAAACAAACAAATTAGGAGACGACGCATGGAATATCTTATTTAAAAAAAGCAAAAACAAATAAAAGGCTAGATCAATCATATTACATCCAACGGTTGAGAATCCACCTAGAATGCCCAAATATTCCTTTCATTCTCTCGTTCTTTCCTCACTCTCACGAACAACAACGTCAAGATCATCATCAAATCACCAAAATTAGAATGAAATTGATTTTAACACAAGCTATTGATCCTTAATCAAGCATAGTAGGAAAGTTATAAGTTCAAATGCATCATGATTTTGGAAGCAATTCGTTATGAACAGGAGGAACAAGCAACCCTAATTCCTAAATTAAATGCCACATAGCAAAAATTGGGTCAAATAAGCATAGGGTAATTACTCAACGCAAGTGCAACAACAAGATCACATCAAGATAATGCTTAAAATAAAGAAATTACTTCATTGAAAATTGGAGAAACTTTGTGATTTCATTTAGGATTTATAATGATCAATTAGGTTAAACTTTGTGAGTGTGTGAGCATGAGAAGTGTGTGAATTGTGAGTGAGAATTGAAAGAAATCGTGTGAGTTTAAGGGTGAGGAATGTGTGAGCTGTTAGTGGAATTTATAGTGTAGTTTTGGATGATGTGTTTGCTGATTTTGCGGGACCCCATGTGCAAAAGAAGGTTTAAAATGTGTGATGTTTATTAAAAAGTTTGTTATTGAATTGTTGTAGTTCACATGGGCAAATATGGATGTGTATGTGTATGTATACATTTGATAGTAATATGTGAAAATTGTAAGGTCAACAAGAGAAGTCCACGTGAACTTTCCCTTTTGATGTAAAAATATGCATGGTTTATGTATATGTGTAATTGTACATGAATGATGATGATGTTAATTTGATTGGATTATGTAAGGTATTCTATTCTATTCTTTCTTTTTTATCTTTTTGTGTATTTTTGGTTTGTGATTTTTGTGGTGACTTAATGAATAATAAAAGGAGGCCAATGTACTGATATGGTATAAAAATGGCATAAAGTCATAAGATGGTCATGTGTGTGATATTATAATAAAGAGATATTTTGAACTTACCTTTAGTGCCAAAATAAAATCTTCGGTGAAAAATAAAATGTAGATAATATTAAGAAGGAAAAAAAGAGATAAAAATGTGAATGACCTATATTAACAACAATGCAAAAAGTCTTTTTATGATTTTCAAATGTGATGTAATGAACATGATGTATGGTGAGGATTAATGTTATAATGATATATGATGAAATATGATGGATAAAAACTTAGGCATGGTAAATGAAAACTTGAATTTTGAATGACAAGTTGAACCTTTTGACTTTTGTTTGTCTTTCTACAAGATTAATTCTAATGCAAGAAAACAAAAATGACCAAAGCGATCTAAATTTACATGGCCAATGCATATTGAAAACAAATAACGAAAGAAAAATGTGATGACTGAGGATTAAACTTTGAGAAT